GTCTCGAGAAAGCTTGGTGTGACTTCCAATCCCAACAAAGAGGCAATGAAGACATTGCAAATCAAAATATATAGAGTGATCAATGTATAGAAAAGCATGTTCTAACCATGGATATACAATAGATAAAAGTATGTTGTATCATATATCAAGATTTTTTTTCTTATTTTTTTTTCTATGCACTACAACAGGGGTCAGCAACCCACAGCTCTGAAGCCGCGTATGGCTCTTTCATCCGTCTGCCGCGGGCTCCCTGTCGGCTCAAAATATGTGTCACAACCGCCAATGTGTGTGACACCTGGCGACACATGATTTATCGAGCTTTTCGACTCCTGGTAGGCCAACCATGGGTACATCCAAGGAAAGTTTCAGAAGAAGACAGAATGTTTAATTCAAGTACTTAGGCTAGTTTTGTGGCCACTCAGGAAATAGTCAGGCAACGAGAAGGGTTTTGTGACTCCCGGCGTTTTCTTTTCTATGGGAAACGGGTTTCAATGGCTCTTTTGACTGTTTTAAGGTTGCTGACCCCTAGACTATACTGTATCAAAATGGTCATAACTAGGATGTGTAACAGAGGTCTCCAAACTTGGCATCTTTAAGACCTGTGGACTTCAACTCCCAGAATTCTGGCTGGAGAATTCTGGGCGTTGAAATCCACAAGTCTTAAAGTTGCCAAGTTTGGGGACTCCTGATGTATAACATCAGGTCTATTTTTAAAAAACGTGCTGATACAACCAGCATATCATTGTTGCAAAATTGAAATAAATAAATAAATAATGTATGCATGTATGTATGAAGCTACCATTACAAAGATCTCTGCCTTTATATATCCTATAAATACCAGGCCGACCACAAGGTCACGAGCAAGGCAACAAATTGCAATAGCTGGCAGGTTAACATCACCTCATATAGATAAGCATATTATATATATATAAAATTATAATTATAATTATATTTATATTTATATTTATATATATTTACGTCATTGTGGGAAAATACCCGAACAAAGCTGAATGACATACATACATACATACATACATACATACATACATACATATACACGTGTATGTTATTCAGCTTTGTTCGGGTATTTTCCCACGTCATTATAGTTGTGCTTTTAAAGTTGTAGCAATGTTTCGGCAGAATCTCATCTGCCATCATCAGGTTTCTGTATTGTGTTCGTCTGTGAGTCAGACTTTTACAGTGGTTTCAGTTTTAAATTTGGGGCTAGCCTACTGCTGTGCCAGATACTGCTGTGCTAGTCCCAAATTTAAAACTGAAACCACTGTAAAAGTCTGACTCACAGACGAACCCAATACAGAAACCTGATGATGGCAGATGAGATTCTGCCGAAACGTTGCTACAACTTTAAAAGCACAACTATAATGACGTGGGAAAATACCCAAACAAAGCTGAATGCCATAGATGTAAGTACCCGCGAAAACTTAAGAAAACATATATATAAATATACATACATACATATATAAAGATAGACAGATATATCAACTATATCTCTATCTATCTATCTATCTATCTATCTATCTATCTATCTATCTATCTATCTATCTATCTATCTATGAGGTTGTGGCAAGCAAAAAGAGATCCAGTAGATCACTTTGGTTCTCAGACCCCGCTCCAATCCGATCCCCGCCCCAATGTCTTCTGTTTTGCTGTCTGTTTTCACTGGAAGTCTTCTCGGATCACCACAGACCATTGGAGAGCAACTGAGAAGTTCTTTACTTAACATAATCTTGAGGAGTGGGAGGGAATCTCATTGGTTACGTGTTGGGAGATCTTTCTTTTTTTTTCCCTCAGATGAACCAGGCTACAGGGAAGTCCTCGAACTTGGCAACCACAACCGAGCCAAAAAAAATATCTTCTGACGCTAAGCAGGTGGTGGTGGAGTTTGGCCGCATATTGCCAACCTGTCTTGCCAGAATCTGGCCCTTAATCACTGTGGTTAGGAACATGGTTGTTAAATGAATCCGGCTTCCCTGTGGACTTTTTGTTTGTCGGAAAGTCGCAAAAGGGAAATCCACGTTGACCCCGGGACACTGCAACCGTCATAAATGTGAGTCGGTTGCCAAGTGGCCGAATTTTGATTAAGGGACCACGGGGATGTTGCGACAGTCATTAAGTGTGAAAATCATTCTTCAGTCACTTTTTTCAGCACCGTTGTTACTGCGAGCGGTCCCCGAATGACTGTTTGCAAGTTGAGGACTTCCTATGCTTTCAAACTCACAATAACTTCCAATAAGTGCCTTCCGCACTATCAAAAATCATCCGTTGTGGAGGCTTCTGTGGTTAAATTTATAGCCAACAAGAACGGGATTAGCCATGATGAAATTTATTTACAATATTCCATTTGTGTACAGTCCGATTCTCAACAACTCTGGGTTGTTCACAAGAGAACCTGAGACTTCAAATGATATCTCATGGGCTGCCCCAAAGAAGAGGCAGTCAAGCTCTTCTCCAAAGCACCTGACAAGAAGCAACGGGTGGAAACTGATCAAGGAGAGATTCAACCTGGTACTAAGGAGGAATTTCCTGACTGTGAGAACAATTAACCAGTGGAACAGCTTGCCACCAGAAGTTGTGGGTTCTTCATCACTGGAGGTTTTTAAGAAGAGACTGGATAACCATTTGTCTGAAGTGGTGTAAGGTTTCCTGCCTAAGTAGGGGGTTGGACTAGAAGACCTCCAAGGTGCCTTCCAACTCTGTTATTCTAAATTCTATTCCATTCTTTCTTTTTTCTACTCTAAACGGGGCTAAACTTGCTGAACCACTGTCTCGCTTAGCAACGAAACCTTTGGGCTCACTGGTGATTGTCAGTTCGAGGACTATCTATCACATGAAGCACAGTTTAACACACCCACCTTTAGAAGGTTGAATTAACTCACTGATACAAGCAAACCTCAAACAATTGTGTGCTTCTGGTCACACAACAACGAATGAGGTTTAATCACAAGAATGATTTGCCTTTGGTTCCGTAAGCATAATACTCAGCTAAAACTTGGGTGCTCCGGTTCCCATAACTCGGTGATTCCATGTATTCTCTGTGATAAAAACAGAATGGCAGTTACTAGCAGCATAACTATGGCAAAACAGGGGCGCCATGGACGCATACGTGGTTCTAAAACAGGGCTACCAACATCCTAGTTAAAGGCCAGAGATGCCATTCCAGAGGGGCAGGCAGAAATGGCCTGACAGTGAGAACAATTCACCAGTGGAACAGCTTGCCACCAAAAGTGGTCGGTGTACCATCAACGGGAGGTTTTCCAGAAGAGACTGGACACCCGTTTGTCTGAAGCGGGATAGGGCCGGGATGGCGAACCTATGGCACGCATGCCGCAGGTAGCACGCCGAGCCATTCGTGCGGGTATGCGAGCCCCAGCCAAAGTTAACCTGCATTGTGCATGCATGCGCCTCCCGGCTGATTGTTGGCCTTTTTCGCCCACCTGGGGGGGCTCGAGGGAAGCCTCTGCAGCCTTCGGAGGCCAAAAAAATGGGCCTTCTGGAAATACCAGAAGTCCCGAAACGGGCCACTTTTTCTGCCTCCAAAGGTTGCAGAGGCTTCCCTCGAGCCCTCAGGAGGGCGAAAAATGCGCAGTGCGGGTAAGGGGTTGTGCACGCATGGGCAAGAGGAGGGCAGGGCGCATTGCATTGTGGGTGCTGGCACGCGTACGCTTTCAGCACAACCACAACAAAAAGGTTCCCCGTCACTGGTATAGGGTTTCCTGCCTGAGCCGGGGGGTTGGACTAGAAGACCTCCAAGATCCCTTCCAACTCTGATGTTCAGTTATTCTAAAGCAGCTGGGCAGACAGGCTGCTCCTTGTTCCTTCAAGGACGTCTCCTTGTAAGGATTTCTAGACACAAGAAGAGAATTTGCAAAACCTCCGCATCCTCTTTCTTTCTTGCGTCATTGCGCTCTGGACTGTTCAAAAGCTTCCGGGTGGTTTTCAAGGGCAGCCCCACGTAGGCTGTGTTGTAGCAGTCAAACCTCCCAACTGAGAGAGGGGCACAACTGGCAGACCAGAGAGAGACCCGAGTGCGGGTCTTCCTGGCCCACAGCTACCACCGGCTGATGGAGCAGCTTTGAGTCCAGGAAGGAGATTGGATTATGTGCCATTCACCAATGAAAAGGTGCGATGGGTAGTCCTCGATTTACGACGAGCATTGAGCCCAAGCATTCTATTGCTAAGCGAGACTGCTGTTGTGCGAATTCTGCCTCGTTTTACCCCCTTTCTGGCCGCAGCTCTTAAGTGAATCACTGCAGTTGTTAGGTTAGTCACACGGTCCTTAAGTGAGTCTGGCTTCTCCCCCGGGCTTTGCTTGTCAGACAGTCACAAAAGGGGATTGCGTGACCTCAGGACACTGCAACCGTCGTAAATACAAGCCAGTTGCCAGGCATCTGGATTTTGATCACGTGACACAGGGAGGCTGCAAGGCTCTAAGTACGAAAAAAACGGCCGCAAGTTACTTTTTCAATGATGGTCACTAAAGGAGTAGTTGTAAGTCAAGGACGACCTGTACTCCATCCAAGGTCAAGAGAGAGAAGGTGCTCAGTCCTGGTGCACCCTAGAATCCAAAATCATTCGGTCGCTTTGAGTCGGAGATGGTTCCTCCCATTACAAAAACAGCAGAGTCTTCAAGCGCTGGGAGAGAAAGGCTCACCTGGCTGGCTCACCTGGCTGGCCCAGGGCTCAAAATATATAATTAGAGATCATCAGCATACCGAGGAGAGTGAACCCCAAATCGATGGTTGACTTCACCACCCCATGATTTCATCTCTATGGAGAGTCTCCGTCCTCCAGGTCATAGTTGTCCCAACGGTGCTTTTTCAAAAGCCCGCCGGACTTTTTGATGTTTTGGCTTGAAGATGTTTTGTTTCTCATCCAAGAAGCTTCTTCGCTGTGGAACTTTTTTTGGGTGAGAAGCAAAATGTTAGGAGGGAGGGAGGTTTTTCAAAAGGCAAGTGGACTTCATTTTTTTTCTTGAAGACGTTCTTCAGCTCTTGGATAAGAAAAGAAAGGAAGGAAGGAAGGAAGGAAGGAAGGAAGGAAGGAAGGAAGGAAGGAAGAAAGAAAGAAAGAAAGAAAGAAAGAAAGAAAGAAAGAAAGAAAGAGTAAGATCAAGAAAGCAAGATCAAGAAAGACCAAGAAAGAAAGACCAAGAAAGAAAGAAAGAAACCAAGAAAGAAACCAAGACAAAAACCAAGAAACCAAGAAAGAAAAAGAAAGAGAAAGTAAGATCAAAAAAGCAAGACCAAGTAAGAAAGACAGACCAAGAAAGCAAGACCAAGAAAGAAAGAAAGAAAGAAAGAAAGAAAGAAAGAAAGAAAGAAAGAGTAAGATCAAGAAAGCAAGACCAAGTAAGACAGACCAAGAAAGAGAAAGAAAGAAAGAAAGAAAGAAAGAAAGAAAGAAAGAAAGAAAGA